ACCCACAAACTTACACAGTGGCTAGTGGAATTATTAGAGCGTAGTAGAAGAAGCTTCCCTAAGTTCGCATTAAAGGATACTTTTGAGTGGAGGACGTGATTGGGAAAGTTTATTTTTATAAGAGATAGGTGGATGACATAATAATCATTTGTGATAAACCGACAGACGCCACAGAAATCCTAAACCAGATCAATAGAGTACAAAACGGCACATCGCTAACATACGTTGAATAGAATAATGATTGCTTGCCATTTTTAGACGTACTGTTAATCCGCCGAGAAGTTGGGTCAGTAAAACAACCTGTCTACAGAAAGTCCACATGAACGGGACACTATCTAAATTACCATAGTTTCTATCCACTACAGTATAAAAAGGCGTTGGTTAAGTGCTTTTTCAAAGTCATTTCACACTACACACAAAGAGATTACGGTTGCTTTGATCGGACACTAGTTTAGTCCTATGTTTGATGACCCAGGTTCGAATCGCAGAGGACATATGCGTTCCTTCAGGATTATGGATACACTTTGCTGATTGGTGAGTGTCAACAAGTTCGAAACCTAGTTGCAGGCAGGGTTGCCCGCTGAATTGTCTCCAGTTATCTAACACGCGAATATCAATCTCATGCTCATTACTGACTCACTAACAACAAGATCGAGTTGCCTAGAGTTCATAGTGAGAAGTCACGACCAGTAGAGTTCACCAATTCACGAATTCGTACAAATACTCGTTCGATGATGATTGCTGACGCTATAAACACCACCAATAGGCAGAAATTAGAATTCATGGGTCCGCTATTGGATCTTTTCCTAGTGATTGAATGGTCAATAGACTGTCACCTCATAATCCGAGGATTCAGGATCCGATTCCCTGTGGAGAGGACCATAAGTGCGTTTTATTAAAGAGTCCCCAACTAGTTAAAAGTAGCTGCCCAGTACTGCTTGGTTTTCAATAATTCTCCTACTGTTATTAGATTCCTCGCCGGAACAGGGATGCAGTTCAATCACAGTTGTGTTATGCCTCAGTAATAATAATAATGGCTTTATTCCAAACAGCGCTTTTGATTGTGTCGAATTTTCAGCGTATAGTAAAATATTGTGTGGGGTAGCAATTAAACAGATTAGTTATTGGGTGTCAAAATAAATAGTCGTATTTGTGTCACAAACGTGCTAGTCTGAAGTCGATTACAAAATATTATGAATTGAGAGGGGCATTGGTGGTGATTAGTCATAAGAGATTCGTAGAACATGAAGTAGGTAAAATTGACAAGTCAGTTCAATTCAACTAGTGGTTGGTGACTAGCAGTGGAAGGCAGGATGCGCATTTCATCCTATTTTGGACTCACCAGCTTGATGTACCTGCCTTCCCCAGTGAGTGGTGGTGTTCCCATAGAGGCTCGAATCCAGTGCCCAGATCTTCAAATACTAAAGTGTTATCCATTAAACACCTTAGACCACGAAAGCCACCTCTTGTGCAACGAGCCATATTAATTTTATTGAACTTGAGATTTCCCCGTCGATTGATTGGACCGAAGTGCTCGGTCTCAGGTTGACATGTCGGCAGCTCCTTATGCAGATGCTAGTCAGTGGTTAGTACAAAGTGGTATGTATTCAAGAGGAGATAGTAAGACTGCAATGAGCGGTGGTTCATCATGAAATAACCAATGTGTGAAATGAAATAAAACAGGTGGAGGCATATATCACACAAGAGTGTTAAGGGGAAGATGCACTCTTGGTGAGAAGAAATATTAATCCAGGTTTGGCCACGGTAGGAACAGAAATTGGAAGTTTTCTTTTTGGATACAAAGTTCCGGTTTAGTCGATCTTATTGCAAAAGCTTCAGCTATGTGTAGGGTACGTAAGTGAATTGTACGTGATATCGACTTTGAAACTTGGTATATAACCCTCAAAGGCCTTGGTAAATACGTATATCAATATAAAATTAGGTAGAAAGAGTTACAACGATATATTGCCGAAAGAAAGAATAGAGACGGCTGTTAACTCAGTAGGTTAGCAGTGTCACGCCTACCACTTTTTTCATGACATAAAATACGTGCCAAATAAGGTATCAAAACAAGGGAATCAGCGAAAAGACTTTTTTCAAAGAATTTATTATCAAGAAGAGGTGGAAGTGAGGCATTAATAAGCGTGATCATTGAACATCTGGTCCATAATGATCACCCTATCTGTCTACAGCCTTCGCCTTTAAAGTCACCTATAAGGTGGTAAGTAATTTGCCCAAATCACTAAGCATCCGACTCAATTTCAATTTTCAAGTATTGGTTTTGTAGGCTTTTTTTTGATTGCATGGAGGATTTAATCATGAGCTGACATCAGTTAGAGAACCAATGGTCTACGAGCTCGCCTTGTAACCGGAAGGTCCTGGGTTCGAATCCCGGTGGGTGCGTACTGCTGAAGAGTCCCAAACTAGGACGAAACAGCTGTCCAGTACTCCCAAGTTTTCCAGTGGTTCTCTAACTGATGTCAGCTCATGATTAAATCCTCCATACAATCAAACAAAATCCCTACAAAACCAATACTTGAAAATTAATCTGTGCTCACTAGTGACTGGCCCTATTCAGGCAGTTAACCTGGGTTTCTAGTGGGAAGCCGTGACCAGTAGGGTACAGCAGGTTGAAGATGAGGCAGTAACTCATCGAAGAAGACATTGCGAAATGGTCGCGCTATGTCGTGAATTGGCAGAAGTTAGAATTCAAGGACCATTGGATCGGGTCCCAGTGGCTCAATGGTCTACGAGCTCACCTTGTAACCAGAAGGTCCTGGGTTCAAATCCCGGTGGGTGCGCACTGCTGAAGAGTCTCAGTTTCAATTGTTGAAGCTTTGTACACAGAAAAGGTAGATTTATGTATACAGAAAAACAGTTTGTTCAACTCCCCCCAACTTTCATGGCCTTAATCCTTCTATGCTAACGTATGGTAATCCTATTATGTACTCGTCGAGAATTTAATAGTCCTGATGCAAGAAAGACGGAAATCAGAAGACCACTAGGTTTGCGAGGATACTTCTATTTTCCAAACACAAGGAGAAGCAATAAGTGGTATCACACCAAAGTACGTAAGTCACACAAAATTGTGTGAGCGAAATATATATGACCATCCAGACAAGTGTGTGAACAAATCAATAGACAGTCTTAACATGATTGGCTAATTATAATGGAGTATCGATCCATATATACATAGCAAAATATAGCAGACATGTCAACAAACACACATATTACATATAATATAAGGGGAATATACATTGTTAAAGGAGACAGGTTCATCAAAGTGAAATGGTCACAGACTAAGAGAGCAACAGAAAGAGACACCACCATATATATGAATACATATCAAATCCCTAATCATAATTTAGCTGTACCAATTTTTTTCATTTTGTCTATTCAATTTATATATTCTCCCTTTATTATAGAGACAGGACATAAAATTGGCGTTAACAGATCTTTTAAACCTATCTATAAAACGTGTTTGGGGCGTATCCTGAAGTTTGTGGAAGCCCTAGCTGGCAGTTAGAAAGTTTAAACCACCTTTATACAATCAAAGCAACAATTTGTCATCGCATTAAACCTTCTTTGGTAAATTTTGTTTTGATACCATAGCAGATGTACTATTACCTCTGCTAATTGGTTTAGTGGTCTTCATTGTTATTTTGACCTTGAATATGACCGCCTTTTAACGTGACCTAAGTCTATTTTTCTCACCTCTTTATTAATTTCGTATATATTTCTATGACAAGTCCGTGTGTGATCAGATTGTTCGAAATGTGTTGCGCAAATACATCACACGATTCAGACAAATTACGTGTTCTTATTGCTTTATCCCTTACGTCAAATTGTTACTATTACTATTCTCACTTTGAACTGCCTCCGATATTATTTCACTTGTTCCATTTTTTATAACAAATCAATTCTGCATTGCAACGTAAAATTCTATGTTATCACATTTCACACAATGTTACGCAACATTTTTCATTTTATTCGATTTGCCTACTAATCCTATAATTTGACACCCCTTCCAAGTTCTACACATCCTTTGAATTGTTCTATATATGACATTAATTTTTTGACAATCGACACTTCAAATTTAACTATGATGTACAGTCTTTTACGAGTTGATCATGAATTAATATCAGTTAGAGAACCGGTGAAAACCAGCACTGGAAGACTCTATTTCTGTTTCATCGTAGTTTGGGAATTATCGGCAGTACGCACCCACTGCACTGTGGTTCGAACCCAGGAACTTTCGGTTACAAGGCAAGCTCGTATGCCATTCAGCCGCTGGGACCCAAATGCCAACTTTCGACAACACCCCCTACCACTTCATTGGTTCCATAACCGAAGATCGGATAGCCGACAAGAAACTCTAGCTCAACAAATATGTTGATGAAAATGCAGATGAATTATGGATTGGATCTACGCTGAAAAGACTATTCAGTGGCATCATGTGTCACATCACAGCCTTCGTAAGAAACCACGAGTTGGCCGTAGGTACGACAGTGAAATGAAGGAGGTTGGGCAACTGAAAGCTGGCTAATAGGCAGTCGTTGAGGCAGCTAAAGACGAACTCCACAAAGAACACTGTAACCCTGTTTTATACTCCAAAACCAAGAGCGAATAATTATTACGATAAAATAGTAATGAATACATCGTGAAAGAATGTCTTTGCATACCTTTCCGTTCCAACTGGAACATAAGGGGGCTTCAATCATGAGCTTTAGAGTTCCAATAGCAGTGGTGTTCTCTACGAGGTGGGATCGCTAGTCTCACTCACTTAACCTTGCCTCTTTGTCTGGTTTACAACAACTGACAGGTTAGGGAGGTAAAGGTGTGCGCCGGCCAGGGTTCGAGCCCCGTACAACAGGCATAGTCGGCCATCAAACTACCATTGAGCCACCGATGCTCGTCAAACAGCGGGACAACAAAATCTGTTACACATACAAAGACGCTGAGTGAGTGTGCCTGTGATGGTGAGAGATACAGAACTAAGGTCAACAAACAGAAACATTTGTCTTTATTAATTTTCTTTTTAAAAAAAATAGTACTACACAGGAATCCATGGGAATCTGGGAAAAAAACAGGAGTAACCAACACAGTGAGTAATATACATAAACGAATGCAGAATGGTGATGCGGTGAGATGAGATTAGATGAGTAGTGGTCATACATGTTTTTGTTCAACACTATATGATAACCATGACCAACTTGTCCCTTCGATATGAGATTTAATTGCATTGATAGGTCATCTCTATTTATAACATCCATTACATGGGATATAACAGCTTATACGAGGAAGAGTAGGTTCGGTCGACTGGTGTGTATGAGAGGTAGATGTCGACGAATCATCACAGCATGATGATGGAGGATCGCAGCTGTCATCCTCTGGAATTAAATCAAAATATTTTGAAAAAAACAAACAAATCGAGTTAAAATGAATGAATTTCAAAGCATTTACTAGCGATCAGTATATACATATTCGTGTATAGTTATCACTATCATCAATGGTGTTTTAAATTACATCAACAGATTACACTTTGATCGAAAGCGTCACTGAGGGGCAGAGACAGACTGAATATTAGCCAAACCAAGGGAAATGACATAGAATGTATGCAATTATAGGCTCAACAATGGGCCACAGTACCACCTGGATTGGCTGGCTCGACATGTTTCTTTTACCCCACCCCAGAAAATTCCACTGGATTTAAACCAATCACAATGACGTCTGCTGTTTTTGGTGATTCATTCGATACCCGATAGAGACTGCTCGATGTTAGCTGGCTGACTTTGTGGTATGTTTTGGACGAGGCGATCTAATATCAAACTATTCACCGTTTTAACAACACCTTTATTTAACCAAACTGTGGTAGGTGTTTCCAAGCCAGCTCGGAAAATCAGGTTCCTAGAGTTATTGACGCCAATAATATAACTGACCACTTCAGAAGAGAGCAGTTGAATTGATGACTACAATTACAGGTGGTGGGTAGACCAGCTACTTCAGCTTTCACTTCAGGAATTACAACCAGTTGTGTGGAATATATAAGCTGCAGGTTCCCAGCGTGAAGAACATTCTCTCAACCAATTTTTTCAACTTGTTTGTTATCACTTCCCTCGGTACACACCGCGAGTCGCATATTTACAGAGATTTCTTGTTAACAGATATAGAAGAATTCTTTTCTACTTTGTTGGCCATGTGTTCACCGGTAAACTTTCCAGCCTAGCTGTTTTCAGATGGGTTAAAGTTTGGTCATGGACTGACTGATATCAACCAGTCAGAGAATCATTAAAAGCCACGATGTACTGAGAAGCGCTATTTCGCCCTAGTTTGGCATTCTTCAGCAGTACTCGCTCATGAGATCCTATCACTGGCTAGACATCGAAATCACAACCTGAGCTGAGCTCGTTAACCATTCAGTAGACACAGAAAGAATTCACAGGCTCATTGAATCTCTTAGCCAGCCGAAAGCGCTGATGTCGTTGTAACCTGAAGGTTGTTATGACCAGAACCGACTCACTATTTATTTATTTTAACGCATAAAAACTTGGTACAATATGGCACCAAGATGGATGCGCCCCACACAATAATGATAAAACAACATAGATCAAAGGAAAAAAGAAAGAAGAGAATATATATATATATAAGTGGAGAACGGATAAAGAACTTCATCTGGAAGGAAAACAGTCATGCTTAACAAGTTCAAACAGTATTCGTTAACTACCATCGAGAAGGGAAGAAGAAAGAGGGAAACTGGAACACGTGTAATAGCACGCGATAAGTTTCATTGATTGTTTGTTGCTTCATTCAATTCATTGTGTGAGGGCTGAGATACTGTCCGGGCGCCCAGACCGAAGCAGGTGGTTTTATGAAGGGACATACCTGCGAGCCTTTGTCTGTCTGTTTTCGACATAGAACTTTGCACAAATGTGCGGCAGTTCAAGTCGCTACACTCCATGTAGCACGCGAAGCAAGAGAAGAAAGTACGAGGAAACCATAATAGAGACAGTGAGCAGAGGTGTGAGACAAAGGAGTAATAACGAAGAACAAAACAGTTTCATTGGAGATCATAAGTCACAAGGAGTGGATGCATCTGCGCCACTGAGAACGATTTTGAGCCATGTCACCAATTGTTTCCGTTCATAGATTTTTACCGTCCCGAGGACCCCAGCCTGGAAGTCTACACCTTCCTACGTGGCTTAGACCAACTGTTGTGGATTTCATTGACTGGTGCCAAGTTTTTGTTTGACCGCCGCTAGCTTTTTTCCAGCCTGACCCTATATCAGCTAACATTGCTCGTCGAGGAAGGCGATGACTTGGCATACGTAACACATGTCCTAACCATCTCAGTCTTTGTAACTTCACGACTTCGTCGATTGATTTCCCCTGTTTACCTAGAACTCGACGCCTAACCTCAATGTTGCTCACCTTATTATGCCACTTTACACGGGAAATAGAACGCAGGCACCTATGATCAAAGACAGCTAGTCTTTTCATGTCTTCCACTCTCAGTGGCCAGGTCTCACAGCCATAAAGGAGGACGGAGCGGACTGATGAGCAGTACACCCGCCCTTTGGTCGATAGTCGAACATCTCGTCTACGCCAGAGTCGGCGTAAACTGGCAAATGCGAAACGAGCCCCTTGTATTCGTGCTGAGATTTCGTCAGAGATCAACCCGTTGGATTTGGCTGATGGTACTTCCCAAATAAGTGAAGCGGTCAACGTGCTCTACCACTTCACTTCCTATTTTTAAACTAGGCGTCGATGTAGTCCAGTCCTGTAACATCATCTTGCATTTGGCGGGAGCGAATCGCATGCCAAACATTCGTAGATTGCGGCTCAAGGTGTTTAGAAGACTCTGCATTTCGTCAGCGTCTTCGCCTAGAAGGACTATATCGTCTGCATATTCCAAGTCAACGAGATTATTCCCTGGTAGCAAGTCAATCCCTGAGTCGCTGAAGTCACTTAGGGTTAAGTCCATTAACACATCTATGATGAAGTTGAATAGAAAAGGAGATAATGGGCATCCTTGACGGACACCACTGGTCGTCATCAGTTCAGATGACAGCTCGCCGTAAGCCCTCACCTGGCTGTATGAGTACGAGTAGAGTGCCTTAATCAGTGCAATATATTTTCTCGGAATTCCCTTTACAGCCAAGCATCTCCAGAGAACTTCTCGATCGACAGAGTCGAATGCTGCCTTTAGGTCAAGAAATATAATGACTGTTGGACGCCGGTAGGAATGCCTATGTTCTAGAATCTGTCGGAGGGTGAAGATATGATCAATACACCCTCTTCCTGGTCTAAAGCCTGCCTGGCTCTCTCGTGTTTGTGCCTCCCGAGCACCACTCAGTCTACGCATGATTATTGAGCCTAAGACTTTAGATACTATATTAGTCAAGCTAATCCCTCTGTGATTATCACAGGAAGACTTGTCTCCCTTCTTGTATATGGGGATAATCAGTGACTTACACCAACCCGATGGGACTTCTTCTGATTCCCAGACGCTGCCTAGTACCTCAGTTAATCCGGACAGTAAGCTGTCTCCACCGTACTTAAATACCTCTGGAGTCATTCCATCAGGTCCCGCTGCTTTGCCTAGTTTCAGATTGGTGACAGCTTTAGTAACCTCAGTTAGTGACGGAGGACCTGTGTCTATATCCCATTCAGGGAGGTGTTGGATGCTCGGAAGGTTGAGCGTGGCTGTGGGCAAATTAAACTGCTCCTCATAATGCTCTTTCCAACGATCCAGTCGTCTATCCTGGGAGCTAATTATAGTGCCATTTTTTTCCGAGATTGTCTCACTAATGATTTGTCTTCTCCCACCCGTTTCCCTGATGAGTCTAAAGAGTTGCCTGGTGTTGCCTATCCTCGAAGCTTTCTCCATCTCTTTGGCTTTTGTCGCCCACCACTGTTCACGGTCCTTGCGGAGACTTTTCGTAAGTTTCCTCTTGTGCAGCTTTCGCTCCTCATTGAATTCGGAGCTCGCCGGAATAAGTCTTCTAGCATCTATCAGTTCGGATGAGGCGGTGGAGATCCAGTGGTTTTTACTCACCTTTGGGTTTACCTTATTCACAGCTTTTACAGCTGTATCTATGGCTGCCTGGATATTTTTCCAAGCTTCTTCAGGGTGAGCACAGCTGTCGAACACAGATATGTGTTTAGCTAGTTCTTCCTCAAATACGGATTTAGTTTCCTGATCGAGCTGGGGACGTGATGGTTTTACCGCCAGCTGTTTCCTACGTCCGTTCAGTCGTAAGCACACCCGAGCGCGGACCAGTGCATGGTCGGTATCTACACACGTGTTCCAGAAGGAGCGACAATCTCCTACCGACCCACGCCAACGATAGCTTATTGCTATGTGGTCTATTTGTGTCCAGCGTTGGTTTGATGAAGGGGGTCTCCAAGTCAAACAGTGTCTCTCCTTGTGTTTGAAGTTAGTGCTTACAAGAAACAAATGATTATCAGAGCAGAACTGTAGGAGACGGTCACCGTTGTCGGTTCGCTGGCACGGAACTCCATAGGTGCCACCGACATCCTTCTCAGATTGACACAATTTCCCTACTTGAGCGTTAAAGTCACCAGCTAGAACGACTATGTCTGAGCGTTTAGCCTTTCGCACCAAACTAGACAGCTTTTGGTAGAACTCATCCTTCGTTTCATCTGAACTGCAGTCAGTGGGGGCGTAGGCGGAGATTACGAAAAGGCATCGGCGAGTAGTGCAGTCCTTTCTCCTTCTTACTGATCCGTTCAGGCGGACAGCACACATTCGGCTATCTGGGATCCAGTCAAGCAATGTCTTTTCTGCCCTAGTACTCAAAGCTATCCCTACGCCAGCTAATCCTCGTGAACTAGCTGTGGCATCTCCTGACACCCTCAAGGTGAATTTTGCAGATTCAACCTGTTGGCCAGGTGGGGTTAGGTGAATAACCACACTTGGGTCTTGTATGCGTGTTTCTGAAACACAGCATACATCAATGGCTCGTGATGCCAGGGTCTTGGCTAGTGATGCTTGTTGTCCTATTTGGCAAAGTGTCCTAACATTAAGAGCTCCTATATGAAATTGGTGGCGCGGCTTTAAGAGGCTGTCGGTGGTGGTTTTTTGGCTTCCATCGTTTTTAGTGGACGCAGAGTGGAGAGGAAGTGGAGAGCTATCAAGTCGAGGAGTTGCATCAGTGGAAGGAAGGCAAGATAATAGAGATGAAGACAAAGATGAGTGAGTAATAGAGAGGTTTCGTGTGCATTTCGGATTGTGAGGGCGATTGTTACTTCCCGGCTGCCCACACCGTGGAAGTTGGTTGCGTGACCGCAGAGCCCAGGGGACAACTGCTTGAGGCCGGTCACACGCGGCCTGTTTTTGTTCGTTCTTTGTTGTTTTGTGTGCCTCAGTAGCATACTTATCACTCCTGCCCTGTGACACGGCAGCAGGAAGCGCGGTCGTTGTTAATCCGGGCCACGGCCGATCCGGCATGAAATTTTGTGATTTTGTATTTATCATGATGTTGGATTGGGTAGCTGCTTTTTGTTTAACCGCTATCCAAACAACCTGCCTGGCATGGTAGGACCTCAAGAGACATAAGTCTCAGCCAGTATAGCTTGAATAGATCATTGCGGTGTTCAAGCCCGACCACCACGTCAAGGTAGCAGCTTTCGGTCGAGCCTTTGACTTTAAGTTTAATCCGCAAGGCAGCAGAGCGGCGTCAGGAGCTGCATTCCCATGGTTTTCGGGGACCTATATGGGTTCATACGCCGTTTGATCCGATTAGATACTGGAGCCCATGTACCCCATGGTAACTGCTTTCAGTTTAACCGCTATCCAAACAACCTTCATGACATGGTAGGACCTGCAGGGACAGAGTCCCAGTCAGTTTAGCATGTAGGGTCATTACGGTATTTGTTATGTACTGGTCGGGTAATTAATAGTCCTGACGCAAGAAGGCGGACATCAGAAAACCACCAGGTTCACGATGATACTTGTATTTTTCAAACAAGGAAAATCAATGTCACACAAGTGTACGGGCGAATGTTCAAAAATGAACGAATCAATAGACAGTCTTAACATGATTGGTTGTAATGTCATGTGACAACAAGGTCAGGCATGTTCGTTCAGTTAGTGGACAGACAAAAACATATTGTCCATTATAATGGAATATCGACCCATATATATATATATATATATATATATATATATATATATATATATATATATATATATATATATATAGCAAAATATAACAGACTATTAAAAACAAACACACATTATGTGGATACATATCAGTATTCAAGCCCGACCACCACGACAAGGTAGCAGTTATCGGCCGGGAGAGGGACTGTCCGAATGCAGGAAACCAATCTCTGCGTCCTACTTTATAGCCGTCCGAAACTTCGTTGACCTACTCTCTCACAGTCACAAATATATTTCAAGGACATTTGAAATCTATGTGTTCTATGGTCTATTCAACAAATTATAACACATCACAGAAACTCGAGAATACCACTTGTCAACACACAGTGCTGCTGCTGCTGAGCAGATCTACAGGCAAGATCACTTTTTCTGAGGCGAGATTCTCACCTCCATTCACTGAAACAAAATCACATTGCAAAGCAAAGCAAAACACCACATCACCGGTGTGTATCTCACAACTACACACACAGAAGCATTCATCAAGTTAGAAATTAAACAAGCAGAGAGGGAAAGGCAGACCATCAGTGAGGAACAAGTCAACAGATGATAGGCAAATAACAGAACAACAAGGAATATACAATAGTCTAGAAGAGAAAGGATTAACAATAATAATTACACGGTTAATTGAAACAATCATATAAGAAAGCATTAATTTTGTGACTTAACCCTTTAGGAGGGACTGCTTCAAACAACTATTTCGTCAGAGAGGTCCAAGCCTAACGGTGACGCTGACAGTGTGCATTGGTGAAGACAGTCTCAAGCTCATACAAATAGAAAGCAACTGTCCACCGCTCCCTTCAAGCTTCACAGGGATGATGACCTGTGCAACTGATGACGACTGTTCCACGACGAAATCCATATCAAAAAGAGAAGATATATATACACTTACGTATATATATGACAGCGAAAATTAACTGTAAAAGCCACTTTTCAGATAATACCGTTAACACCCACGACCCTACCCTTCAGCCGCCTTGTTAGGCTTTCTCAAATTAATCAACTTTCACTGGATCGATATGCTTCATCCATTTACAGGCCATATCAGCCTCAGAGTTTAAGTCTAGGTGGGAAGGCTATCCTCACTCAATGAGAGATGCAGGTAAATTAAGCAGACAAGCCCATCCATAGGACAAAACACGTACGTGCGTCTTCAATTCCCAATTGCTATAACCACCCACCGTCAAGTGCTAAATATCAATTGATTGTATATTAATTAACTTTCACAGATATTTTTGTGCGCGAAATATTTAAAAAAAACCCACAAGAAATGAATGCTGAAGATGAGATCGATCTGTTTCACAAAATTGAAGTCCATCATCAATCTACACTACAACCTTCTTATGGATATTCTAAAGCTGATTTGGGGTGACTCAAAAACATTTTTATGCCATTGACTGGCACTGAAATCAGAGACTTCGTTGCTAATCTGTCTGGGTCAACATTAGGCCAATCAGTCAGTCATATCTTTATTGTCAATTTCCTAGCTGACAAAGCAATTAGGTTGAAAACAAAAATAAAAATATGTTATGCAAAAATCAAACAAGCAAGCAGATAAAGGTGGTCGAACTCACCCTCCAGTTTGGCCAATAATTCCTTGTAAGCTGTTTTATTATCCCCATTCAATTTACTCATGACAGCTGAAATTTCCGTGTGATTACACAGTTTGATCTTCTCCTCCCATCTACTGTGTAGGCAATCGTACTCCTGCAATAATTGCTTATGGAGATTTTCATATCTTTCAGCGGAGGTGTCCATCTGCCTCACTGTCCATATGTGATAAGCATCTTCGAAGTCTAATTTTAGTTGGAACGTCGCATCATCCAACCAGTGAGCTGATGAACAGTAATAAAGCATACTTTTAGAAATATGTATATATGCATATATAACAATATATATCTTTTAAATCTCAAAAATAAAAACGATGAAATTGTTTGTTAGGCAACTTCACTCACTTGGAAAGTCATATCTACTTTCGACTATCCGCCCCCAGTCCCCTCCTCAATGAACTGACTGAGCGCCATCGCTGACAACACTTTAGCACAGATATAAAGAAAAATATATTTATTATTAAAAAATAGGCAGATGTGGCATTTCCTCCTAGCTTATATCATCACTGGTGTGCAGACGTGATATCCAGCTACTGATTAAGGAATATATATATATATATATATATATATATATATATATATATATATACGTACTCAGCACCGGTGCCGTTACAAAAATGACAGGCGCTTGTAGTTGCACTCAGTCCTTCCCAAGTGAACCACTTAAAGTTGTCGATATTATTATTATTGTATCCTTTAATTCCTAGAGGAACATAGGGCTTCAGCCAGGCGTCTCCATTGCCTTCGGTTTTCTGCCAACTTTTTTCACCCCACTCCAAGTCTGCCCACATGCTACCATCTCCTCTTCACATGACCTCATACAAGTCCCCCTTGCATTGACGACCAACTCGCCGCTTCCCATTCAGTCGGGTTCCACTCGAGCAAGGGCTTGTCTAGTGAGGGTCACTTGATGGCTTGTTTCCTCAGAGTATGGCCAATCCATCTCCATTTCTTCCTGCCTATTTGTTTCACAATCGGTTCCTGCTGGGTTGGTTCGCTCATTGCCAGAGATCCCTGTTGTTGATCTTTTCTGGCCGGCCATCTGATCTTGAGTAGTACTGAGCGAAGACAACTGTTAATGAAGATCTGTAGTTTGTTTGAGGTGCTCTTCATGACGCGCCAAGTCTCTGATCCGTATGTTGGGTAGCACTGACTTCACATTGGAGTTGAAAATCCGGATCTTATTTCTGATGCTGAGTGCTGTTGACCTCCACACAGACTTGAGAGTAATGAAAGCTTGTCTTGCTGTTCCGACCCTCGCTGCTTTGATATCCTCGTCAGTTCCGCTGGCCGGTATTTGAAACGATGCTTCCCAGGTAGGTGGGTGGGTAAAGGAGGTTGTTTCTTTCAGGTTCTTCCCATTTATGCTGGCTGATTGTTGTCTGTTGTTGCTGTTGTCAGTGTTCGCCAGGAATCTTCATCATCTACCTCTGATTTCTCTATGTTCACCTGAAGTCCTATCTTCTCTGGACGCTTCTTCTGCCAACTTGTTGCTTCGCATCACTTGCACATCTTGTGGGAGATCAGATATATATCACATTGGCGAAGTCCAGATTCTCCAAGTTTTTTGTGTGGGTCCAAAATAACCATAACTAATATATTGGGTATTCACATCATTTCGGATTCATGTCATGCCGTAAACTCATGTTCTGCGCTTTTTCAAATCACAGTGTATCCAGACAATGATGCAAATAATGTGGCATACCAATTCCTAAATGATGTGAATCACAATCGTCAGCATGTATGCAAAACTTTGTTGAGTAGCATCACTTCCTACATGTCATATTATGTAGGTTCGCATGAATTCTGACAATCAATGAATTTTATGGTAGGATACACTTTTGACGTACACAGCATCGTGTGAATAACTCGATTCATAGAAACATGAGTTCAAGACATCAGCTTGCCATCTCCATTACTGGTGTTATTCAGGCCATCGATGTCTTGCATGAAGTGTCTGGCATTCTATGAACAGACAAAGGAGGCGAGAATTAATGTGGAAATCATTGTCAAACAAAATTTTACTATGGATGTCAAGACTAAAACACAGTGACTGTGCGACAGACAAATCATCATCGATGTAGTGACTACATGATATGAGCTGAAAATCCCTTCTCCAGCGAAATGAAAGCATACCGTAAATAGCTCTTAATTGTGCCTCAACTCATAGTATCGTTTCTTCCAACCAGTTTAGTCCCATACTGAATTCCATTTGTTATTTCGTAAGGAAGATGTTACAAACAGTGAAAATTGATCCTTGAACACTAACCTTCCTTCTTTAAACACCTGGCCGATGATTTAGACAGAATATGAAAACTAGGATGGCATATCCAAGTTTGATCCAACACCTGTGGTGCTGTCCGGACGATAGCTTAGCTGTCAAAAGTGTAGTTTACAATGCCTCGGTGGGCGCAGTCCTGTTCTACTCTGGGTGAAACCTGGCCTCTCCAAGCTGAGGAGATGCGGTTAAGTCACTCTTTATTATTCAGTCAGTTGGGTTTGAATCCCAATCCATGCACTTCATCTTGGTTGGGAGCAACCACGTAGTAGTATCATCATCCCGCCGAACACACACACAATAACTGACTGGCTCACGTAACCAAAAGATGAAAACAAACCTTGCTTAGTGCAAATCTGCTCACAAATTTACATTCCAGGACATAGCTCAGAGGATAGATAATAATCATAATAATTAACAAGAAGAAGACGAATAATACCAGAGCTATCAAAGACTACAGACTTTTATCAGTAGCTGTGTATCCTTTACTCCAACCAAACTGAAGATCAAATCGCCGGTCAGAAAGGACAAAGGACCAACAAGAAACTCCGATAGACAATGAATCAACCAAGAACCACCTACTGTAAAAACAGAAGACAACGGCCAGGCAACAGATCCTTTATTAAGGAAATCAACATATATTTATATATTTTCATGTGCATTATTATAGATTATTTAAGCAAACAAACACAGTTCTCTGAGTGGTTGCTTTTCACTGAAAGTTAATCTTTCATCTCTTCGTGGCTATTTCTTGAATGCCAGATCATCTATATGCTAACTGTATCCGCCTACGCGAAGTCTTGTTCTCGTTTTTCTCACGACCAATATTGGGGACATAAACATTGACGTAAATTACTGTCTACCAACTTTGGCTAGCAGCCAGCTCTCACCACGCTACCACAAAACAAAACATGAAGAAGAGAAAGAAGATGGATTAAACATACAGTGAGACGACGACAGCTGAGTGACATAATACACTAAGCAGGCCATCGAGAGAAAGTCGGATGGGAGACAACAAGTCGGGCATCAAGTCCAACGATGATATAGAACAGCCTGTGTGGGCAAGAGGAGATAATGATGAAAGATTACAAAAGCATAATTCTACACTCTATAGGTTCAAGGTTATAAAACACTGCAACTGTAAACAATCAGTGAACAATAACTGGCTTAACTTCAGCGATAAGAAGGCGATGTGAAAAATAACAGTCAACACGATCTCGTAACATTGCATACACATGACAAAGGCTATCACCACTAACACGAACCATGATATTCACAATTGTCGTGGACTGGATTATGCACAACACCCAACCAGGTAAGCGGAGAAGACAAAAACATATTGGACGGATACGAAGACTATAGAACATCTCAACTTCCTGCACGATTGATGTCTAATGTCACATAAATTCGAAGACTTACAGGCGAGAAACCAACAAACTAGCTGATGAACACGACAGCGAAGATACGAACGACTTTAAGCGAACATACAGAAGACGGAGGTGATGACGACAACAACAAGAACAACATGCACCAATCACTATCAACGGAATAAATTTCAAACAGGTTACCTCCTTCACTTATCCAACTATGTACCAGGTGTTTCAAATACACGTAGAAGGGATGGATGAGGATGGCAAAATCAGAAGCTGAAAGACAGAGCAGACCTCCATCACCCTCAAATTAGTTTGGAAATGTTCTCCACCGACTCCCCATAAATAATACAATTTACACTTTCAAAACCAATATTCAATCAGTCACTTCTTCTTCTATTCTTTTTTATTGTTCCCTTGGGTTCCTAGTGGAACATACGGCTTCAACTGCACGTCTCCATTTGCTTCTGTCTTCTGCTGTACTACTCACCTGCATGCATGTTAGTCCATATTGTTTCAACTCCTCTTCACACGATCTCCTCCATGTCACCGTTGCACTGACGTCCCACACGCCGCTTCCTTTTCGGCCTGGTTCCACTTGAGCAATGGCCTCACGCGCGATGTCACCCAGCGGCCTCCTCAGCGAGTGAGTGTATGATCCATCTACACTTTCTCCTGCATATTTGTTGGTTAGCGATTGGTTCTTGTTTTGTTTGTTTGTTCCCATAGTTTCTTGTTGGTGATTCTTTCCGGCCCGGACCGGCCATCTGATCTTCAGTATAGAGCCAGCGAAGACAGTTGTTGGTTGATAAAGGTCTTCAACAGGCCGTCGGAAATATTCTTTGTGACCCGCCCGCCAAGTTTCTGATCCGTATAGAAGAGCTGACTGACTTGACGTTTGTATTGAAAATCCGAATTTTGTTGTTGCTGCTGAGTGACGAAGATCTCCAGATTGGTTACAGGTTGATGAATGTGTTTCTCGCCTTTCCTATTCTCGCTCGATTTGACATCCTCGTCGGTTCCGACTGCGTGTAGTTAAGACAATGCTCACTAGATAAGTGAATGAAGTAACTAACCTCTTTTAAATCCCTCCCGCTGATGGTGACCGGCGCTGGATGTCACTTCTATATCCGTATGAAACATGAGGAGCGCGTCACCAATGGTATTTCTGACAAGCCAGTTTGCAGACATTTAACAACAACAGCTGCTTTACGTTCACTGGCTGCCTTCATGCGGAAGATAAAATAGCCATCTGGTCAGAAACAGTTAGCAACAAGAAACTCTATGAATGAACCAACAGGCGACAGCCTATTACTCAACAAATGCTTCTGAAAAAAAGGGGAAATGGATTGGCCACCCAATGTTGATGAGGAGACTGTTGAGTGAAATCGAATACCAGGTCAGGACAGGCCAGCCTAAGGCTCAAATGAAACTCGAATGCAAAACGACTAGTTTGTCATCCGACAGTGATATAAAGAAGCTGATGAAAGGTAATGAAGCAAACTGAAAAACACAAGATGAAATGAAGATGGACTACCTGAATATGAAAACACCTCGATACTCTTCTACTAGGGAATCTAAGGCACAAATAATCAATCAAATATTACAAATATAATAATGATAATAATAATAACAATCACAATAATTGATCACTATAATTCTTACACTTACCATCCATGGCATCTCTTAAATGCCTCTTGTCTTCTATAAAACCAGAATCTATCATTTTTTGATGCAGATGATTAAACAGGTGTGAAATCGCTGTTCGATCACATTTTAAGGCCAAATTGAGTAAGTGTTTACTCCTAGAATGGAGACACAACAAATGTCGTCCATAGTAATACTCCGCTTTATATATACATACACATGCATATACGATATATTATTTATTTATTTAAACGCATAAAAACTTGGTACAATATGGCACCAAGATGGATGCGCCCCACACAATAATGATAAAACAACATAGATCAAAGGAAAAAAGAAAGAGAATATATATATATATAAGTGGAGAACGGATAAAGAACTTCATCTGGAAGGAAAACAGTCATGCTTAACAAGTTCAAACAGTATTCGTTAACTACCATCGAGAAGGGAAGAAGAAAGAGGGAAACTGGAACACGTGTAATAGCACGCGATAAGTTTCATTGATTGTTTGTTGCTTCATTCAATTCATTGTGTGAGGGCTGAGATACTGTCCGGGCGCCCAGACCGAAGCAGGTGGTTTTATTAAGGGACCAACCTGCGAGTCTTTGACTTGGAGTCTAATCCTCAAGGCAGCGGAGCAGCGTCAGGAGCTGCATTCCCATGGTTTCCGGTGACGCATATGGGTTCATACGCCTTTTGATCCGATTGGATACTGGAGCCCATGTACCCCATGGTAACTGCTTTTAGTTTAACCTTCCTGACATGGTAGGACCTGCAGGGACAAAGTCCCAGTCAGTTTAGCATGGTGGGTCATTACGGTATTCAAGCCCGACCACCACGATAAGGTAGCAGTTATCGGCCGGGATATACGATAGATACTAACACTTAATTATCAAGTTGAGACAAGACAGCACACACACGCACAAACGGACAAAAAAGGTTTATACAACAAACGGAAGACAAACAACAACGATAATGGAGAAAATCAAAAATAAAGAAACCGATGATGATTAATGTGTACACATACGTTCACATTTATCAGAAGTGGGTATTCGGAACCGCCTCTCACCTACCCACCCCCTGGCCTTTATCATACTTAATTCAATATTGAAAGTATCCCCATTTAGACATTTAGAAAAGAGAAAGGCATCGGGATTTCCGTACTCACCTTGAAGGAACTTATTTCAAGATGTACAATGAATGTTCATTTCTTATTCAATAAGGAATATGACAGGCGAATTGATGGTGTAGCTATGGGTTCCCCATTAGGCCCAATCCTAGCCTATTTTTTCCTCACTAAGTTAGAGAATGGACCACTGAAAGGAGTAATTAGTGACTTGGATTTCTACTGTCGATATATGGATGATACATTTCTGGTTATGAAAGACGAGAATGATGCAATGAACATCCTTGGCAAGTTTAATGATGCCCATTCAGCAATAAACTTTACCATAGAGAAAGAAAGTAATGACAGTACCTCATTCCTAGACGTCTTCCTGGCAAGGAAAGAAGATGGCACACTAAGAAGTGTGTACAGTTTGTAAGAAGGAGTGTGTACAGGAAACCTACTACAACAGGTCAGTACACTCATTTTTTGAGTTTCGTATCTTTGAAATATAAATGTAACCTGGTAGTGTCTGGTTCATAGAGCTAGGTTAATCTGTTCAGACGACTGTTTCAATGAGGAGCTTAAGATTATTAGACAATTACTTAGAAAAAGTGGTTATCCAGATAAGTTTATTGAGAAAAATATGAATTCATCACCTAGGACAGTCACTAAGGCAACAGTTCCGAAAAAACCACTGTTCATAAAACTTCAGTTCCTCAGTGACAACATCAGCGAAATAATAACACAACGACTGAAGAATGCAGTTAAAAGAGCTTATTATGCAGCAGAGGTACGCTGTCTCTTCACAACCACACCTATCCTACGTTCGAGTAATAAGGATAAACTACCTAAATTTGTCTCTTCTATGCGTATCTACCAGTTTGACTGCAGCTGCGGAGCCAGGTAAATTGGGTGTACAATTAGACAGGTTCATCACATCGTATTTTCGAACATCATCCAGCTTGGTTAAGCAAGAGAGATACAATATCTATTCGTAGCTCTATTTCAGCCCACCTTGTAGATAGTGAGCATAAGGCTGACGTTAATACTGCATTTAAAATTATTTATCGCATTCCTACTAATCTTAATTTTGCTCTACGAGTTCGTCTTCTACATACAGCGGAAGCAATAGGAATCCACCTGAAGAAGGCAGCCAAACCTGTGGGTTCAGAGGAAATTTGTACAGCCACTTTCCTTACCTTGGCCATCGTTACATGATTGTATACACCGGACTACTTCACTTCTCTCACCCTAAACCTTTAAAAATTATAATTGTCCAAATTGTTTTATTTTCTTTAATGATCTGTTACATGATCAATCTATGCACACGCTTATTCCTTAATTGCTCTTCATTGCTTCCATAATGATGCATTAGGCAATCCACTTGTTGTAACCATTTCCAACTTTTAATTATAATATTTAATTCCGCGAAAAATAAAACATAAACGATTCACATATCGATGTGGAAGTGTAACAACATGATATTCAGAGAAGAGAACCATCTTTCCCTTTCCATCTCTTATCCATCTGTATCACTATTATTAGTATTGTTCTCTTGGGTTCCGAGTGGAGCAGAGACCTCTTTAACAGCAGCACATCTCCACTCTGTCCTATTTTCAGCTGTCCTCTTTAGCTCGGTCCCACAATTGCCTGTAGTCACTCATCTCCCACTCCTGCTGCTCCTCTTCCCCCCCACACACACACGATCTCTTCCATATCACCATCAGAAACTCACCCAACACGTCATTCCCCACTCAGGTTCCACTCGATGGCCTGTACAAACAAAGGTGTTGTCATTCAACAGTCTTCTCAACAGGTATCCAATCCATCTCAACTTTCTTCGATGCGTTTGTTGAGCAATAGGTTCTCGCCTGTTGGTTCATTCACAGAGTTTCTTGTTGCTGATTCTTTCTGACAGACTACGTGATCTTCAGTATGCAGACAGGCAGCGAAGATAAGCAACAGTTGATAAATGTCTACAGAGTCAAGCCTTCGCCAAGTATCTCATCCATACAGAAAAAACTCACTGACCGACTGACTGACTTAACATTAGTGTTGGAAATCCGAATTTTATTATCAAGCTGTACAACCCTGTATATATGTATATGTATATAGCCGTTAGGAAATTATGTCCCGTAAGGAAACAAGGCTGCGAATACACAAAATAGTAACAGTAGCATGTAATATAATTAAAATGTTTGTGATTATAATCATGATTAAATCTCAAGTGGCAAAACAAATAATGTCATATACAGAATAGGTTTCAGGTTTGATGCCAATGAGAGGACTATTGGAAAGCGCCAACACGGAGTACTGGATAGCTAGCTGTTTTTCATCAGCCTACTTCGCGAGTCTGCAGCAGTACGCATCCACTAATATAGGAGTTAGAACGCCGGACCCCCCTAGTTACAAAGTGAGTTTATAAATCATTCACAGTCAATGGATCCAATACTTCTGCCAATTCATTCATGATACTTACGGAGCAACCGCCGCCAGTCAATGTCACGGGCGAGTAACTAACTCATCTCTGATACCTGACTTGATGGATCTCACTGGTCACTACTTCTCACTAAAACCTCGGGTAACTTTCCGTATATAGAGCTAGTCACTAGTGAGCATCAGATTAATTATCAGGTATTGCTTTGGTGCGTCGGTGGAACACAGTGGTGGAATGCTCGCCAAACACGCAAGTCATCCGCGATTCGATTCCCGGCCACTGTAAGCACTCCTACTTTACCTTGTTATGTCAACAGAAGGAAGGTTGGCCTTTAGGCTAGCAACTCCATCCTGTAGAAATAAACACCACTACTACTCAAACTTCAAGCTTCATACTTGAAGCCAGCCCTCTACGTTACACAGGAAACGTACAGGAATAAACAAAATTGTTTTGTAAGGACTTGATTATTCATAGGATGTATTAATGTTGCAATTGGATGTACAATTAGGAGGATTGAGAGGCGAATGAGACGTTATATAACATGATGTAAAGTATGATTAGATAGAATTCAACATTGCAAAACAATATTGCGATTCAGAATAACAAGTTGGATAAGAGAAGGGAATACCGGAACAGTTTAAAGTGAGAGGTAGAGAGAGGAATTGAGCACATTTTTTGTACACAAAGGTCTAGCTTGAATTCACCAATGATCAATGCCTCCACTGTCTTTAGGTGTTTAAAACTAAGAAAACGGGGCAAGTCATCATGAATTCTATAGATGATGATCTTAAAATCACTGTCACGCTTCGTAGATTAAAAGGCGATTAAGTGTGTTCTAGAATAGCGTTTCGCACACCCTTACTTTTTCGCTTGTAAAATTATGCTGGAGAGTATGTTCGCCAATACGTGCAGAAACCATTCTCTGCTCACTTCACAAGAACAGATAAACTGATGAATGCACACAAAGGCGGCTAGACGATAGGGAGCTTATCTATTTTTAGAGGCACGGAGAACAACCTACAGTCAGTGAAGGTCATCTGCAGTTCTGCAGCAGACAACGTCTCACTTACTGATTCAGAGAGAGACAGAGAGACAATTTTTAAGCATATCAGACGCCTAATCAATATCTCAATTCAAAATTCATGAACATATTTCTCCTGGGGGTGTGTGGGGGAACTGAGTCAATGACCAGTTTGCATTCTGTCTTATGTGAGTACCAATAAAACATTTAAATAGAAATGAGATATCTACACAAACACCCACACACACACAAACGCACACAGTAAAGAAAACCAAAAGAGACTTATAAACCTTATAAACCGACCGAAAGCTGCTACCTTGACGTGGTGGTCGGGCTTGAACACCGCAATGACCTAATCAAGCTATACTGGCTGAGACTTATGTCTCTTGAGGTTCTACCATGCCAGGCAGGTTGTTTGGATAGCGGTTAAACAAAAAGCAGCTACCTCATCCAATACCATGATCCAAACAAATTCACAAAATTTCATGCCGGATCGGCCGTGGCCCGGATTAACAACGACCGCGCTTCCTGCTGCCGTGTCACAGGGCGGGAGTGATAAGTATGCTACTGAGGCACACAAAACAACAAAGAA